TCGCAGATGAAGGAATCCTGCAGCTGAGTAAGTTTTTAGGTCAACGACAGAAGTCCAGTGTGCTCGTCAGAAGGAGTGGTGAAGAGATGCAGCTTTGAAGTGGTCTTGAATAGTGGACCGATGTTCGATTTTAACAGCCCTTTTTAGTAGTTCTTCTTTGGTGAAAGAGGTGCTGCAGCTCCCTAATGTCAACCTCACAGACAGTGGGCAGAAATCTCACTGTTGAAATAGGCGAGATTCTCCAAATTTATGGAGTTTTGGTAGGCTCTGATGGATCGAGGACTTTTCCTCCAAAATTATTGTATAAATTTCCTGGCCCCTCTATTGGTCAGAAAACACATTCTTATCTCTGATAAGAATCAGACTTTATGGCACCATGGAAAGAATAATGGTGGTGGAATTTCTTTTTTTATTTTTCAGCTCTCACCCTAGTCAGAAAATACATTCTTATCTCTGATAAGAATGAAGGCCTTGGGAGCCGGTTTTGAAATTAAAAAGAGGTTGGAGTGAGGATTGAAAAAATAGTGAGAATATGAACTTGTGAAATTGCTGTCCTCAAATTAAATTCTAACACTGTGTTCTTTAAGGCTGTGTAAAATTTGTAGTCCTTGTTTGGAATTTTGTTAGACATAGAACTTTAATCATTGTATTTAAGTTTTCTTTGAACTAATTCCTTCATCTGAATGGTTTGTTTTTCTTTATGCAACTTTTCACTTATGAGCCCTCCAGTCAAGTGTGTAAGTATATTCCAGAATATTGTCAGATCTATAGGAATTAAATTCTATTTTTCAACCAATAAAATCCCATCAGAAGGTTTGTTTGATAAACAGTCATTACTAAGGCAATACTACCAAAATACTTGTGGATGTAATTGTAGACCTATCACGTTGTTTTTGGATCATTTAGAAAATAACAATAATAACTTCCTTCATCACTCCCACAAAAGCCAGTGTGAAATTATTTTCTAACTAATGAAAACCTTGTATTCAAAAAGTTCATACCTGTATATGAAATTAGATTTTAAATCCCCTTACGGACATAAAAATAGAAGCGTATTTCTTCTCAGGGCTCAAAACAATTTCAGGCCTGATTGATCTACACGTGCGTACACAGACAATGGGAGAGATGAGCCAGCAGTTGCCGACTAAAGATCTTTATGCACTGAGAGAAACATTAGGCCAACCTTCATAAAGTAAGTGTGGCTACACATCTCACATACTTAATTAGTTGATAAAACAAACTCCTCTTCAAAAATTGAACATTTCATTGTTATTGTATATTTCTGAAAAGAATCTATAAATGTTATTTCAACTGACGTTCTGCTTCTACTTTTCCTTCAGAAAATAACTTTTTATAGTTTTCATTTAAAAGATGTGTTGTTGTTGTTAAATGTTTGGAATCCTGATACTCAGAAAGCAACAAAAACCCGAGTAGATGGATCAGAATAGATCTTTACATGGGGTTTGCATGCATTATGTTCCACACTAGAGATATCCTTCTCTGATATATGTAATGACCTTTTGATCACTCATTGACCTTAGTTTGTGCTAACCACATTCATAAAGTCTCAAGTTCATTATCTGCTGTCTTCTGAGTGGCACCTTATGAACAAAGATGCTTTCTAGTTGGAAATATTCAGAACTGTAAAAGGAAGAGACAATAAACTCTCTTTTGGCTCTGGCATAGTGATAACAACATGAATCTTACCTTCTGGGGAGATGGTCACTGGACAGCAAACTTCTTAAGTTCAAACAATCTATATAGACATATGCACACATTACAGTGAAGTGTATGTATACACATCAATCTAATTTTCTCTTTCACTTCTTTTGTGAGATATGTATGTTGTTCTTTATATAAATATATGTAAAATTCTTAATATGCTGAAATTCATTTCTTTTGAAAATGTTGAAATCTGCTTTCAATACAGTATTGAATGCAGTGTTATTATCTTAATAATTGAGTTTGTTTATGATTATTTCTCTCATTTCATCAACATAGAGTTATTTATAATAACAATTCCAAATGAATAAAATAAAACAACAGTTTGCAGAGTACATCATTACATGCCAATGCCAGTTTTATAAGATCACAAAATGAAAACAAAAAATTTATAAAAAAAATAAGGTTTAAAAGGTTTTGATAGTGTAAGTTAATTAATGAGTCAGCCTATCATTTTTGAAAAACATGTAACAGGGTGAGAATAATCTTCCAATTATTGAAGCAGGTGACAGCACCCTAGCAAAGAGGCTTGAGGCAACCAGTGAATTAAATGATTTGGTTGAAGACCAACGAAAGTTTTTTGTTTAAATATTAAGTGTGTACCATTTTCTTAGTTTCCAGGCAGAGCTTGAACACAAACAAGTTCTTTGATAATATCTTAAAAACCTCAACATGTTCTGAAGGCAATGGACAATTATGTTCAAACTCTACCCAGAAACCAGGAAAATAGTCTGGATCAAAACAAATAAATAAAAAACAGAGAACTTTCATTGGTCATCAAACAAATTTGCTGTCCAAATACATATGTTGTGATCTGTCTACCCAGGTTTTTGTTGCTATCTAAGTGTCGGGATTCCAAACATTTAACAACAACAACAACACATCTTTTAAACGAAACATATCAAAGGTCATTTTCTGGAGGAAAAGTAGAAGCAGAACATCAGTTGAAATAACATTTATAGATTCTTTTCAGAAATATACAATAACAATAAAATGCTCAATTTTTCTTGTACTGAAGTTTGTTTTATCAACTAATTAAGTGTTCATGTGTTGACAGACTTACTTTATGATAGACTAATGTGTTTGTGAGTTCATAAACAAGAGCAGCTGGTTATTCCCTTCTCTTGTGGGTGTGAGTGTTTACATGTGTATGCATATGTAGATCAAACTGGCCACTGAAATTGTTTTGAGCCTCGAGAAGAAGTATGCTTCTATTTTTTTTTATCTATAAAGGGATTCAAAATCTAATTTCACATAAAAGTGTGAACCTTTTGAATACAAGGTTTTCCTTAGTTAGAAAATAATTTCACACTGGCTTGAGAAAATTTTTCCTTAAATTTGCAGCAGTGGTGAAGGGGATTATTATTATTATTTTCCAAGTATTTGGGTGGTATTTTGCCCTAGTAATTATTGTTTATCCAACAAACTTTCTAATGGGATTTTATTGATTGAAATATATAGAATTTAATTACTATACACTCAACTCAACATATATATATATATATGTTGAGGTGGCACTCCATTTAAAGTATGCTCATTTGATGGGTGGTTAGCTCATCCCTATTGCAGACACCCATTCTGGCACATTTGTGTTTCTTCAACATTCACAGAGGCAACCTATAGTTTATATTGCATGTACAGTGTCACCCGGATATAAGAGAGTTGTCGGGACCGGAGAAGAAGTCTCTTATATCCGGGTTTATCTTATATCCAGGTTTGGTCTATTTTGTTTAGGTAAGTATGGCTCTAATTTGGGACCAGAGAAAATCTCTCTTATATCCGGGTTTATCTTATATCCAGGTTTGGTCTATTTTGTTTAGGTAAGTATGGCTCTAATTTGGGACCAGAGAAAAAATCTCTTATATCCGGGTTTATCTTATATCCAGGTTTGGTCTATTTTGTTTAGGTAAGTATGGCTCTAATTTGGGACCAGAGAAAATCTCTCTTATATCCGGGTTTATCTTATATCCAGGTTTGGTCTATTTTGTTTAGGTAAGTATGGCTCTAATTTGGGACCAGAGAAAATCTCTCTTATATCCGGGTTTATCTTATATCCAGGTTTGGTCTATTTTGTTTAGGTAAGTATGGCTCTAATTTGGGACCAGAGAAAATCTCTCTTATATCCGGGTTTATCTTATATCCAGGTTTGGTCTATTTTGTTTAGGTAAGTATGGCTCTAATTTGGGACCAGAGAAAATCTCTCTTATATCCGGGTTTATCTTATATCCGGGTTACACTGTATACTGAGAAAGCCTTAGTTATTTTTTCATAAAGAGTGTATAATCTGGCATGATCATTAGTTGAACAAGGCCAGGATACTCAAACCTTTGGTCACAATGGTGGGGATGTGTAGGTGGGTAGCAGCTAAGAATAAAAAACTGAAAATCCAAATTAGAATTCGAGTCAGGTTCTTTCATAGCTTTCCAAATATCTTTTGGAAAGCTATGAATGCACCATCTTCTCCCCACATCTTAGGGTTAAATAGTAGGGCTTGTATCTGGAAAAATTATTGTTATTTTGTTAATGCAATATTCATTTGCCAAAAAGAAATTATTCATACAACCCAAAATATATTTCAGCTTTAAACACCCTACAAAGAGTTGATAAATTGTAAATGAACAAATTACTGAAAAAATCAATTGATCACAATGATTTGTAACTTCATGCTAGCCTGTCAATAGCTCCTGAATAGTTTTGTTTACCTATGTTCCCTCACAAGGCTTGGATCAACCCACTGCAGAGGTGCATGCTGGGATCAGCACACCAGGCCAATATAAACAATTCACCTCCTTGATGAATCAAACATAGTGAGATTCAAACCTGGGTCTTTATGGTTGGAATGCTAATGTTCCATGTCCCCATCTCTGTCTGAAATCCACTGTTTAGAATGGTCTTCTTATAACTCATAAGTGGATCAAATCATGATGGATCAAGTCATAGAATGATCAAGATTGGTCATAAAATCCATTCCTATTATTTGTTGGCTTTTCTAAGATGATCTGAACTGATGTGTGAAGACTCATTTACACACTTCTCTTATTGACATGGAAATGTAAACTTCCATCTAGGTTCTCAGGTGAAGTCCTACAAATGGTTCAAACTCTTATTTCTGGTGGTAGACAATTAGATTTTAGCCATTTAATGTAAATATCCTAACCTACCTGTCTATCCAATAGTATTTGTGTGTAAGTGAATATAATGACCCAATGGAAATTGGAACTCAGCTCTCTGATTAACAATTCCAAGCCATTATTCATTACACCACCCATACATTCAAGCTTACAGCACCTGGTATTCTTAAGTAGTTACCCATCTAAGTACTAACCAGGCTCAATGTTGCTTAACTTTAGTGATTGTATGGGAACTGGTGTCTCAACATGATATGGCCATAAACCCATGTCTCCATGATAACCTTGCATCAATGCAGACTGTGCTTGATTATAGTAACATCTTTATGTTTTTACTCATTTAATATGTCCAATGACTAGTAATGGTAACCACTTTATAAGGAAATGTTTGCTATCCATTGACTAAGCAGTCAGTGTTACCTTCAGTTGAAATTTATAAAATCTTTTGTTTAAAACAATTTTTCAGAAAAATAGGTTTCTCAAATCTAGTAACTGTTATTGCTCTTTCCAGTGTTGATGGGCCGTTTCCTTCCTAACCTTTTATTTGAAGTAGTGTCGAATGTTAACATCTTGATTATGTCATTATTTTCTCGTCCAGTTACAATTTAGTTGTTGCTGTTGTTGACAATTCTTAACTGATGTAGATTCTGTTATTTGGTGCAGTTCCTTGTTGTGATTCTGTAGTGCCAATCCTTCACTAGCTCAAATACATTTTTAACTAATGATCTTAGAAGTTGTCTACAGCTGGGACAGTTGGAAATCATTACCAGATGTAACCTAAGTAAGTTTAACTCAGTTAAGACAACCTAACTAAACCAGAGTCATTAAGTGGATGAATTTTGAAGACTGGCTGCCAACCATGGCTAAAGAGCCCAATCTACTCTGCTATTTAACCCATAGCTGGAGGAAAAGAGATGGATTCATACCTTTCCTAAGAGTATTTCATACTTGGAAATGATATGAATCCATCTCTATGGATGTGCATGTATGTAATGTTTAGTGGCTTGAAACAAGTTCAAATTATAAATGCGTTCATTCATATCATTACAAGTTTCACTTACCTACTATTGTATTACTTGAGAATAAACAATGTTATACAATGCAGAAGATAGGCAGCATACTGAAAATATACTTTTTTTAAATCTCTTATTTTCACATAATAAGTTACACAATGTTCTACGAGGTTTGATTAAAAAGTATCGGAATTGATGCTATAAAAAGAAAACAACACATATCAAATCGGTATTTAATCTCCTTCGAAGTAGTCCCCTTCTGAACATACACACTTTATCCAGTGTCATTTCCATTGATGGAAGCATTCCTGGAACTCATTTTTTGGGATAGTGAGCAGCTGCACATTCTCTTGGTTCTCCTAAATGTCTTGAATATCTTGTTCATTTCAAGCGATATTTGATCTTTGAAAAAAAGGAAAAAGTTGAAAGATCTAGGAAATACAGTAGTTTTCAGATATGGTGAATGTTGTGCTTGGCCAAAAACTGCTGCACAAGGTGCACTGAATGTGCAGGTGCATTGTCATGGTTGAGTTGCCACTCACCAGATGCATATAATTGTGTCCTTTTCCAGCTAACAGCATCCCGTAAATGCTGCAACACCTGGGAGTACGCCTTGCTTACCGTTTGACCAGGTGGAGACTACTCATGAGGAATAATGCTCTTGTAATTGAAGAAGAAAACTGTTAACAGTGTTTTCACATTGCTTTGATTCATTTGTGCTATCTTCGGTTTCAGAAAGGTCTTCCACTGGTTTTGAGGTCATAGTCACAGACTCGGGATTTGTCACTTGTTATGACTGTTTTAAAAAAAATTTTGTTTTCAAGCAACGTATACGGCAATGGCTAGCAAGAAAAAAAAAGTAATTATTCTGAATAATGAACTTAAAAAGAGAAATATAAACATTTTGAGATTAAATCTGAGCATATACATAATTCCTAGAAGAAAACATATTTTGATTAAATTGTCTTTAAACTTTCAGATCCAAATAAGCACCCCTTTCATTTCTCAAATACATTTGATTTATAATCAAATGTATTTGAGAAATACATACCTTTGGAATGCTTTTAAATTCTTTTGGGATCTGGGGGTTGGGTTAAAATTGAGAAGAGGACGTAAACACAACATTTATGTTATGTATATATCTATAACACACATGCCCCGGCCAATACTGGGTTGAACCTGGTCAGCAGTGACCAGATGATATAACCCTTGCCAAATGCTGCATATACCAGCAGATGACTTGGTCTTCAGGGTCATAGGACGATGAGTTGATTGCAGGGTCATTCCTTTGCTGATTGATACTGTCACTTGTCAACTTTGCACCACCCATGTTGTGTTTATTGATCACAGAGCAGTGGAGATAGAGTATCGTCAGTAATTGTAGTGCTGGTTCAAACCATGGCAAAGCTGTGTTATGAAGGAAAAAAGTGAAATAAAGAAGGAAAGATTCTTCAGGTCGATTTTTGATTTGGTTTATATAGTTCTTTGTATAAAAGCATTAACCCTTCCCACTAAAATTTCTATTGGGACACTTTGTCTATTGGTGCTAATTCTTGGAAGTGGACTCAATGTCAGTGGGGGGGGTATTCTCTTGGCAGCAAGTCATGTGGATTTCAGTAGCCTCTTTGTCTGCTCTTCACTGCTAGTCTCTCGTCTCTCTCTGGGTTACCTAAGTGCTCTGCCTATATTGACTTCAACCCAAGAGTGGGGTGTGGTTGACGGTATTTTGGGATTTGTTGATTACCCAGGTTTCTATATCGATTTGAAGAGTTATTTGTTTCTGGTTCGCAATATTAATTATCTTTCTAAATTTGGGAGAACCATTCACCTTACTAGTGGTTGCAGGTATCACCCTACCCTTATAACTCATTCCTTCTTGTATTTGTGTCTTACACCTGTACTTCCAAATGGGTGGAGGTAATTTCTCCTTCTTCCTCCTCTCTTAGTATTTAATGTAAGCCAACCACTTTGACTGTGTCTGTGACAAATCTAATTCTTAAACCGAGTAGGTGAAAGGAGGTTCTTACTTTTAATCATTAATTGTAATTATCTTATTTCTCAACAAATTTTTTCAGTCCCTGGTCCCCTTATTTAAGCAGACATTTACCAGCTGTTCTGCCGACCAGCTATTAGAACAACTTGTCTTCATATCTTTTTGCTTAATTGTACTCATGAACCTTACAGGTTCGTTTTGTATTTCCTAAAAAGCTATTTCTGCTTTCTGACAGGCAGGCATACATCTCAATTCTGAATTCATCTTCAAAATTACCAAATATTATAACCTAATTGCCCCCCCCCTCCTCCATCTGGTAATCATGAGATGTTTTCGTAATTTCCACTTTAATTAAGTGGACATAAATCAATTTGTCAATTTCTGCTTCCATTTCCAAAATTCTCAACTAACCTCAAATGTACTTTCACCATTCCTTCTTAGACTTCATGGGTTGAAACCTTCCACATATCCTCTGATAATATGTTTTCCAAAACCAATAGTCATTCTTTTCACGTCTGTCTTTTCTTCAAACTAGATTTTTGATAGTAAACCATTTCCTTCCTTCTTTCAGTTTATGTTATTCTGTATTTTTAACCCCCCTTGTCTGTTCCAGTTCATCTTTTAAATTAACACTTTTCCTTTACTAATGTCACATATATATAAACCCTTCTTGATAAATATAAAAAAAAAACTTTGTAGGGAAGTGATGGTTAAGTTTTCTAAAAAACCATTGTTGATAATTTCATTTGACAGTGATTACTTCAGAACCAGAATGCAGTAGCTACATTACTTATCCTGTATTTATCTTATCCCCCACCCAAACAAAGGTCACATATGACACACTGTCATCTTAATGTGGGGTACTCATATACATACTTATAGACAAGGGACAAAAATTTCATAGTCCTCACAGTCATTGTCATGCTGGGATTTGTGTCCATAAATCCTCTCTCTTTAGTGTAATGAGGAAAGTGCTACTGCCAAGTTGAATTACCTGGGACTAGTCTTCCTTCATTGCAGGACTGTGAACTGCCCAAAGACAGAGAGGAGAACAAATACTACATTTTGATCCCAGCCCAAATTCTGGATAAATGAGCATTGTATTTATTTTACCCCCTCCAGTCAAACACACATCATCACCACTTCCTTGGAAGGAGGATGTTACACAAATTCAATTTAATGTGGGGTGAAGAACAGAAATTACACTTTAATTTCAGTTCCAAATATTTACTCACCACCATGGTAATATGTGACACAATGTTGTTTTTAACATGGGGTTGCCATTTGGGCAATCCAAAAATGCCTGATTCTCACAACCACTATCATATTGGCATCAGTATTCCATCAAGCTACCCTCTTTTAGTGCAATGAGGAAGGTGGTGCTACAGGTTTGGAACCCTTGGGATTAGGCATCTTTTAAAGTTCTTTGCCTGAATACAAAAACACAGCAGAGAAGTGAAGGATGCATCAGTTTGAAGAAGTGTTTGAGAAGTGAAGATACATCAGTTTGAACAAGTGCATGAGAAATGAACAATGCATCAGTTTTGATCCCAGGTAAAGAAGCAGCCTCGACTTATTCTAAGTGCCACCAAAATAGATGCTTTTTTTTTCCCAAATGAAAGCAAAAAATAAATAAATAACTATGCTTGTTTTAAAATTTTTGCCAAAAATCAGGGAATTATCTGATTCAAACAAAAATTTCAGTACTTATCCATTAATATACAAATTGTATACTAAATATGTCATTTTATTAGAAAACTTTGTGGAAATATAGCCACCCACACTTCAATATTTCGAGTGTATTTTTTAATGTTGGTGGTGTTTGTCAAATTATTTTTACAGTTATATAAAGAAAAATCCCTGCACATCAATTTGTCTTTAAATTAAGTAGCAGAAGAATTATCATTGAACATTTAAAAGGTAAGTTTAAATATTAATGCAATAATTAAATGCAGCAATCAATTTTGAGTTTTTCTGTAGTTTATTGTTGCCTATTGCATATGGCAGCAATATGCCTTTCAAAAAGAAATCTCCACCAACAGAAGACCAGATTGCATGGCTGCATCGTGGTAAAGAAAGTCTTGTGCAAATGAAAACCCAGATCAAACAGTAGCCAGGAGAGCTTCTAATGCTGAGAATATGCAAAGACTTAGGGACTCTCAAACCCCTTAACAAGCCAAAGGCCCAATTAAGGGCCTTCTGCAGGAGCTAGCTTACATGCTGCCTGATAGGGTGGCTTTTAAGCTAGTAAAAAAAATAAAAGTCATTAAACTCAAAAGCATCATTTAAAAGTATTAAAATCAAAAGCATCATTTATTTAATTTTAACAACAAAAAATCTTCTAATGTAGTATAAAAAATAAAATTATTCATTCTACTAAATTTCATAAAATTGTATAGAATAAAAAATTATATTCTAAACTATTGGTTATATGAGGTTAAAGATAATTTATTTTTAAACATAAATACCAATGTTTCGAATAAATGCACTACTTGTGTTCCGTATTTTTAAAATTTTTCGCGCGCTTTTTAAGTCAGGCAGGAGTGGAATTATACATTTTGTTTTTATTTTTTTACTCCACAGGCTACCGTGCGTATATTTTAATTAAGTTTTAAATAAAAAGTAAACATCACTTTTACAAAATCCAGTTACTTAATCCTTAATTTACTAAATGACTTCGAAGCACATTTTATAGGATTTTTAAGAGATTTTAAAATTTGTTGCGTACATTCATTACAATAGCGATTCGATGAGTGGCGAGAAAAAAACGTAATGTTTTAAAAATGCCTAAAAACTTTATTTATATACGGAAATTAATTTTTCTTTTAATTCGGGCTAAGCGTTATCTTTAAAATCGAACTTTAAATAAAAAAAAAAAACATTTAAATTTTTAAATAAATTAAATATTGCGTTTTTCGTTTTTTTTTTTTTTTCGGAAGTCCGTGGCAGTACCTACCTCTTTGCAAATCGAGAGAAAAATAATTTAAAATATTGTACTTATTTTCAGATAGTCTGTTGTAGATTAGTAAACTGTTACTAGTTTCCCATATTGACGTGATTTATCTCGATCTTTATGGGGTTTCCTACTAACTATTGTGAAGGGCACTAAACCAGCTTTGTAATTGGATATATTTCCATCATATTTCACACCGGTTTCATTCAATCCCATTTTGCTTTTTCTTCCCAGTTATCTCCCTTTTACTTTTTGTCCGCGCAACTGCAGCTTCAAGACACGTGCATTTACTTTTTGAAATTAAACAAGTTTCCTCTGTTGCATTATCACTTTATAAAGCTTTGCAATGTTTGTCCGACCTTTTATTCAGGTTTGTATAGCGATTCATTTTATGAGAAGGTCTATTTTTATTAACAAAAACTATTTATCACTTTCTTTATTTTTTAACTTGAGTTGTACGCTTTTTTTGTGCTCTCTTGTGTATCGTGATAACAAAAATAAAGTAAAATAAATTAAATATTAAGCATTTCTTTCAACTTATTTTATTATTTACTGTGTTTTATTCTACCGAACAACATTTTTTGGTTTTTATTTATTTTATGGCGTGGAATTATTTATTTACACAAGGAACAAATTAAAACGTCAATTTTGAAAGTGTAGTTCTTGTTGAGCCTTTTAAGACGAAATTCTAAAGATTCCCTTGAGTGAATTTTAAATACTTTTTTCGCGCTTAACAGCTTAGGACCTTGAATACTTCTTAGTTATTTATCATTGTTGAAAGAAGAAGAAGAGTAATTATGAAGAAAAATCACGATGTTTTTAAAAGCAACAAATTTAAATTTTCTTGATATTTATTGTTTATTTTATCTAGAAATGTCGACATTTTTTGAGTAATTTCAATTTGCGGGCACAGTAAAAAATAACTTAGTTTATTATATTTTTTTATAAGTCCTAAATATTAAATAATTAATTGAACATGCTCTCTTTTTAGTAGTAGACCTATTATACACCAAGTACTGATTTATTTTTAACATTTCTTTCAACCTCAATATCTCTAAATTTTAAAATTCCAATTCCAATAACAACCGACTGATCTATTGTATATTTTATTTTTCTTCGATAAATTTTCCAAATGTGTCAACAACATGGCTGTTTTTTTCCATTTCTTAAACATTCATTGTTGAATCTTTCTACACCAGAGAGTATGAAACACAAGAAGGGTGGTATAATTCTATTTTGACACTTGTAAAAAAAAAAACAAAAAACGATAAGACGTGCAGTTGTAAAAAAGAAAATAAAGAAATCAATCCGACACTTGTTTTAATTCTCACATTGATTCCAAATCCAAAGTAGATTTTTTTTTTAATCACACTTTTATTTTTAATGCGCAGAAGATTTCTTAATGAAAAAGTAAAGTTGTGGATTATTTGATATTATCAGAAATGTGTTTAAACTTTATTGGATAAAAAAAAACAACTTCTCTACTCACTACTGGCCAAATAATTAGCTGCTTCACAGTTGTTACACAAATTACCAAAAAACCAGGCCCAAAAAGGGCAGGGCATTTTTAAGCTCATTCATGCGGAATGTCTAAATGGGGATTTTCGCCACATATGATTCAATAAATATTGAATCATACCTTATTTAATGTTCTCCTAGTGGACATTTCTTGTTAATTACGTTGGGGCTGGCCACTCGCATTCGAGGATACCCGTCTACTAGGGCGGCTATCTAATCCTTATTGAGGTCGCTTGCTCAGGCGCATTTTGTGTTTGTTCAACGCCCACAGAGTCCACCTGTGGTTTATACTGCAACTATGCTAAGCAGACCTTAGTTAAAGTTTCTGGGAGAAAAGCGTGAAAATGATCAACAATCTGAACAAGGACAGTACACTCCATTTTTTTGTACTAAAAATTAGTATTTTTTTTTTTTTTGATTTTCTGTTGACCGGAAAGAAGTCATAGAAAAAGTAATGGCAAATAGGTTATAACTTTGGTTTATGATAGGACATTTCCAACTAGATGTCTTCTTTAAACAAACATAAATATTTGATTTAGTTTGAAAGTAAGGATCTAGTGAGCTTTTAGTATTATACTTCACTACTTCAGTCTATTAAAGTGCCATATGTGATACATGCTTGGGCAATCAAGTCTCTTTTGATTCATGACTGACTAGGCAGAATATTTCCCTGCAGTAGGTTACTGTTTCTTTCTGCTGTAGACTGGTTGCCAACCAAGGCTATAGGATCCAGTCTGTCCTGCTATTCAACCCATAGCTGGTGGCCAGAAGAGATGGCTCCATAAGCTTTCTGAAAGGCATTTTCACATAAATGAATGTAATGAATCTAAATGGAATTCAATCTTGACTCTCCAATTTCTCATTCCAAGCAGATTTAAAACAACTCAACAAATTACTTACTAAATTAAACCCATGTTAAAAACTAAAAAATAATTTTGGAAAAGTTCTTGGTCAAACCAATAAGTTTTTCCAAAAAGCATCTTGAAATGTAAGGCTATAAGGCTAAAGTACCTAATAATTAATATAATATTAGATTGCTTAAAATATTTGTTAATTTGTAAATATTACTGTGTACTTAAATAAGTTCATTTAACATTTGTGAAATTTGTCACTTCTGTTCATCCATCCGATGACTTCTGCCAATACCATCAATCAACACCTGATAAATGAGTCACTACTTGCTTTTCTTATTTTCTATGTTTTTCTCTGCTAAAAAAGTAAGTACTGTTTGTTTCATATTAGATTAAGTAAACTTTAAATTTTCTAATTTTACTCAAATAACCCTTAAAAATCTATATTTTAATTTTACAAGATTTTTAAAGAGAATTTAACTTTTGTTTACAAATGTCTCAAAATGGCAGACATCATTGATTTTACTGAATGAAAACAAAAAAAAAGTTTATTCCTATCAATATAAATTTGATTTTAAATACACCAAAGTATTTTGCTCACTGGGTATAGTAAATTTATTCTTTTACGTTTGAATTAAAGCTAAAAAGAAAGTTTCAAGAATGATTTTTCGTTTTTTAAATTAATCTTTATCTATAGGTATGCCATTTTTCAGAAAATTAGTGGAAATCCCTATAACAGTATAATATAATCTTGAACAAAAAACTTAAAAAAAAAACATTTATTCATAAAAATGGATAATGAGTTTTGCTATGTCTATTAACAAAGCACAAAGTCAGACTCTATAAGTTACTGGACTACAGTTAGAAGAATCCTGGTTCTCTCATGGGCAGTTGTATGTTGGTTGTTCACATGTGAGAAATAAAACCAATTTGTTTGTTTATGCTCCACAAGGAAAGACAAAGAATATTCTCTACAAAGAATTATTGTAGTGTACAAACTGTTTAAAGATATTTTGGGGTTTGATTAAATGAATTTCAAGTTATATTGTTGTTATAGATTTATTTTTAACTTTTTAAATCTCAGGCAGTGTTAAGTAGTTCCGCTAGTATATGAATAAATTGTGTATACATAGAAATCATCACAGCATGGTGATTGGTATGATCTGATGATTGCTTCAGTTATGAAACTGCTTGTCACCCAGAGATATTGATTTCTATGTCCATACTGTTTATACCCCCGTGCACGCACATATCTGTCAGTGTGTTCATCCATAGCCTCACAATGAAAAAAAAGCATCTATTTTACACAATATATATATTTTTCAGTATTACCACCTTCCTTGCTCATGAATCACATAGACTGATATTAATACAATGAAAATTTCAGGTCAAAATTCAGTTAATAACTCACAGGATTATTACTTATTGATCCATTCTCATACATTTGTTCTATTAAAATCATTTTTTAGCAATGTATTTATAGATATCAATTGATTATGTTCATTGCATAAATAGTTTTGTTTCTTTTATATAATGATTATTTTATTTATGTTTACAGAATTTCAAGCAGATGAAATGCTTTCGTCCGCAAATCGCCCATTATTGTGATGGTTCCAACCTTCCACGATTTGAGAAATGTAAGTTGAGCTACATTAAATATTTGTTTCTATTAGATTTACTCATTCATTTTTATTATACTTTGGCAACATCTGTCTATATTTCTGAGATGTGGTAACTATTTACACCATTTACATTGTTTGGACTGTTGGCCTCATCTTTATTGTCATATTCACTGTTTCGACTGTTGTACACTCCAGCCTTTTCCAGGTGATATATGTTGGAATTTCGAACTGAACCATTTATTAGGTCCACTGGGGTATATTGTTCTAGTTCCACGTGCTGTGCCTCTCTCTCTCTTTTTTTTTTTTTGGATATCTCAGTTTCAGTTAATTCCCTTTAGTAACTCAACTCTCCAAGTTTTTGTTCACCTCTGCTGTGGCCAGGGATTGAACTCACAATTCTCTGGGTTAAGTCACTTTTGGATTACTTTAACCAACACTTTTATCCATTGAACAATGTGTTCCCAAGGACAGTGGACTAAATAAAGGGTTTGGTTCAAAATTTCAATGCATATCACCTGAAGAAAGCTAGAGTGTACAACGGCAGAAACATCGTGAATATGACAATAAAGATGAGGACAACAGTCAGAAAAATATAAATTTAATAATCTCTGCGATTTAAAACGTTCTTTTTTTAATTTTCATTTATGATTCAATTCATTTTGTTTTTTTGGACTTGATCATTGATCTCAAAAAATAAAGAAACATAATTTAGGTATACTAACTTTATTTTAGTCTTTTAAAAAGTGTATATATTAGAGTTTGTATTTTCTTTCTAAAATATTTTAATCATCTGAGAGAACTCTTTTTATCTTCCATCAGCATGTCTGGTGCTAACCTCTAGGAATATGACTTGTACCTTCTTGGACTAATGATTTCAAGTGATATGAAATGGAAATGGAGTAGATTGAATCACTTGTTAAGTCTGCAGCTAAGAAAGTTGGTTCACTATGTTGTGCTAGACAATCTCTCTCTCCAGAATTTATCATACATATTTACAAGTCTACCATTTATCCTTGCTTTGATTATTGCTGCCACATCTGGTTTGGTGCTCCTGCTATATATTTAGAGATTCTTGATAAAATCAAAAGAAGAATCTGCAATGTTATTGATCCTCATCTGGCATCTCAGATTTTTTTCACTAGCATCCTTTTGACTTGTAAAACTATGCAGTTGTTGTCTAGTTTTTAGTTTGTCCTTTTCTTTTTTTTATAATAAATATTGTTTAAAAATAAACGTCTGATAATTATGCACTGAGCTAAATTTAGGATAAAAATGGTTAAAGCGTTATTTGATACATGAAAATCTGTTTGGTGCTAATGCTGATTCACACAATTACTTCATCATAATTAACATATTTAGCCTTCAAAATAATTCCAAGTAAAAGAATCTCTCTGTTGCAGCATTTAGATGAAGGTGAGTTTCATATAAGAACTCAGTTGAAATATTCTTGATATTGTAAGAATATCTAATTGATTCTGACATATAGTGCTTTGCTTGTAATTTTGTTGGATTTTATTTTTGATCTGTTAATAATATGATCCTAATATAGATGAAAATTATCGCCATAAATTTATATTTAAAAAAAAATGATGCTTCTATTGTATTTACTGTTTATTAATAACTGTAACACTAAATCTGATAATTTTAAGGTTACCTGATTTTTTTTTTTCTTTAGGCTTAAACCAAGTTAATCTTCTTGGACGAGTTGGACGTGATGCTGAAATTAGAGGAACCGAACAATATCCTGTTGCCATTTTGTCACTTGCTACAAGTTTTGTCTACACAAAAGTTTCTGGTAAAATCTTTTGAATATTTAAAAAAAAAAGTCTCTTTAATAATTAAGGAGAAATCAAGACTAAAAAACCCTAAAACCTTGACCTCTTAATTTAATTTCAATATAGGGAGTTTTTTTTTATTCTTGTTTTGAACAACATGACTACTTTATAAACTCACAATGTGACTCTTTCATAAAATAATTTTGAATTTGGGACTGAGCCCAAAATATTTGGGCATCCTGTTACATTTTAAAGCAATAACAAGTCTATCCTGAACTTCTTACATCTGGCAGAACCAACTTAGTGAGGTTTATGACAAGAAGCAGGATAATAATTTTAGCTATTTCTGAGTTAAGTGTGGTGTTTTCATGATTGTTGTAAAAGCAGGGAAAAAATCTTCATTTGCTAGTGATGATTTTTGAGTTTTAAAAATGTGTGTGTATGTGTGTTTGCATATGTTTTTATGTACAGTATTCATTCTAGATTTAGGGATAAAATTGGAAATTATGGGATGCATGCCTTGTGTATTTAGGGATTGTTTATAAGCTGTGTACAGTGGTGAAGCATAGGTTGCCAGCACCTGAGGAAATACAAGTATTGAATCTGCTAACCTGTTAGCACTCCTTCCACCAGTCTAGTATTGACCTCTCCATCCAACAAGCACATGTACAAAAGAAAAATATCAAAATAACAAAATTCATCAAACAACTAAACTCCTACCAGTGTGCACACACACACATACACACAACATTATCATGTTTTTACTCTTGGTGTTGGAACACTAAAACAGCTGGAAAATTACTTGATGGCAAAATTCTGAGAGATTTTAATTTAGTGATAGGATTGTTACCACAGCATTTTTCATTGCGGAACCCATAGCATTTTTCATAAATATGAAATATCTTTTTTCCAGGACTTTCAAAGTCCACACATATCAACATGCAAGTGGGTTTCCTTAATAGCTGGTGACTGGCATAATGTTTGGCTATTTTCCACCTAGTGCCAACTACTTTTCAAAACCTGATGAAGTTTGAATTTATTTTACATATTGCTGATATAGTCTGGCCAGGGTGGGAACTTTGATCCCATCCACTACTTTTTAGTTTCTACTTGAAAATTTCATACTTAATGAAACCCCTGAAAATGTGGTTAATTTGGATGACCATGTACATTTACTGGAGTACTGGGGTGGAAAAGGCTACATGATTTAAAAAAATTTTTTTTCTTAAAAAATTTGGCACACTGACAAATTTTGCACTTGGAGTCTATTACTCCACAGGTTGAATATGTTTATAGCAAAAAATATTGAGTATAAGAAAATAGTCATTTTCATCATTCCTATATCATATACTCCTAATTTATAAAACAGGAAAAATATGCTTTGAAATGAAATTATTGGATAAAAAAGGAATGAGAAATTCAACTCAAACAGGTTCTTTCCCAGAACTGTTATGTTGTGGAACAGACTCGCAAAAGGATGCATTTTTGATCATTATATTTTTTAATCTCTTCAATCTAGAGTCAATTGTTATCTATCTTACATATTGTCATACTTCCTTACTTGTACACCTTTTCAACAACCTCATATGCCCTTGTATTAGTAAATATTAGTATAAAAAAGACGTTGATCTGATTGTTGGTTAAGCTGTCAAAAATGTCACTATTAATGCACAATTAACTTTTTTAAAGAAAGCCAAATTTTTAGAAGCCTTATAAGCATTTGGTGGTTGTCAATTCTAAACGTGAAAAACAAGAGTCAAAATTTGGCAGCCATATGAATGAGTTTGAAATTGGTTATTTGTAATTGAAAAAACAAAATGTGGAAATATTTTAGAAAAATATCCAATCATAGCAACTTGCAGTGAAATTTGATTAGAGGCATAAAAGGTGTTGAAAGCATTAAATATTATTAGAAGTTTTCTTATAAATATCTTATAATTTTAGGAAGCATCTGACCTTAGACCTTGGCTTGATATGGCACAAAGTTACAAATGAAAAACATGTCATGAAGATCATTCATATATTAATAATAGTTTTATGAGACTAGCTTAGTTGGGTTCTTGGAAATAGAGAACTATCTTGTGTGTCTCCAGTTGCCCATCTTAGGAATTAGTATATTTGTGATATATTAACACCTTAACACACCAGAAGGAAAGATCAGAATAGCTGAATGATATGAATGTCAAATATGCATTGTGCTCAAAAAGAGAACCAGATATGTTATACAAGAAATTATTTACAAATATGTATATACTTAACACTATTTGCCCCACACAGAGAAATTATAATATATATGGATAATAAAAGCAGTGTGAACATTGAGAGGGTTTTACTTATATGAAAACAGCCCCAGACTGGTGGTGTCTTTTATGTTCTTGTTAGGAGCACATGATTTACATTCCTTCTCTACCCTCACAGACTATAACATCTGACTTCCTTAAGGTCTAGTCACCTTATGGGTTTTCTCACTCAGCAGCCATGTAACCCTAAATTTGTTCTACCAAAAGGGAAATAATCGCCTTCTGCATTCCTATGAGTTTATTAACCAAAATGAATTAAAGAAAAACTGAAAACGAGAAACTTGCTTAAAAACATTTTTACACTTTCTGTTATCAAATGGCAATTAACTTTTGATAAAAACTCATTTACATAATTAATGTAAACATTTTCTTAGGAGTAGCATGTTAGTTTCATTAGTATTTTTTAAAACTTATTGACTGTGGAAACTTGAAATTTTATTTAGCCTTTAACTGGTATGAGGAACCATGATTCATATTTGTTGTTTATATTCAGTAATTTTTTTTTCAGTTTGTGAATTAAGGATGCTTTTATAAACTTAGTATTTGCTTTTATTGATTGTCTGCAACAGTGTTCCCTTTGATATCTTTTTGATGTAAATGATTTTTATTCTTAAATGTGTTTCTTTTAATCAATAATGTTGATTAGCTGCTATTTTTTTTGTTTTTCTTTTGTGTGTGAAACTGACCCAACTAATCGCTTTCCCAACTGAAAAGTCTCTCTGTATATGCAGTCTCACATTCATGAGTGTCTGGTCGCTTTTTTTCTCTCTCGTGTGGTGTTTTTATGCCAAGCTCATCCCGCAAAAAATTTGCATGCAGTCAACCACTTTTACCAATTCTCCTAGCTCCGAGACTGTGTCTCTCTTAAATTAAGGTGTCAGGGCGGCCATATTTCTTTTTCCTTTCCTTTACTTATTTTGCGTGCCAGGCATTTACGCACTTGCTTTGCTACACGAGGTAAGTCATCTTCTAACTTTTTAATACAAAGACACATTTTATCATGTATTTTATTATTAGATGGAGCATTATCAACCATTATTAATTTTTTATTAATATTTCATCCTAATTTCAGTTGCTTTTTATCAACAGTGCTTGGATCATCATTCTCTGATCATTAATTAAGAGTGCAAATCAGAAATAAATCTACTCTTAGCAAGATTCCCACCTCCATCTCTTTTGCTTCTGAAAACCTGTTTCTATCCAACAGCTGCTGCATTGCTAATTGGTTTTATCATAGTTGCTATACATAGACTCTTCAAGATGAAATACTGATAAAAAATTAATCATGGTTAAAGAAACATTATTTATCTTGCTTTTGTAGGTGAGACTGTATCTCGAACTGACTGGCATAGAATCAGTGTTTTCAAAGAAGGATTGCGAGATAAAGTAGCATCAAATGTCAAAAAGGGGTTTGTCATTTTTTGGTGTTTTTCTTTTCTAAATTTTGGGACAGCATGATTTTTTTAAAACTTAATTTTACATTGACATTGTAAAAAAAATATGCAAGATTTCAGAAAAATCATTTCAATGTTGAAACAATAGAAAATTTCTAAAACTTAAAACATGCATTCTCTGTTGTGCAATTTTAAGTTCCTTTTGTGTTCATATATTCTTTTCTTACAATCTCAGGATGTATTGGGTGGGGGGCATTGTTTACATTATATTTCTAGACTCCACTTTCTGATGTAAAGTTAGTTTTTTGTTTTAAGTTGATTAAATTTTAAAGTGTTCATGATAATTTTTATAATGAGACTAGCTAAATTTTCTTTCAGTTTCATTAATTATAGAATTTGTAGTTAATATAACATGTCTAGTTTTTGTATTGTTTATATTTTTTTCTTTTGTGGACTTTGTATGCTTTTCTTTTGGCATTGTGTATGAAATAACTATGATAGTGGAGAATTTAAAAAATATTTTGAATGTAGTTTTCTTTATCAGTTAGATATTCAAGACTAAATTCTAAGGACCTTTAAATAAAAAGCTATAATTATTCCAGTTTTATCTTATTGTTGTAGTGTAAGTAAAGATTTATAAGGTCATATTTATTTGTTGACTAATGATAGACATTTAATTTTAAAACATTTTGGATTAACAATATAAAGAAAAGATTAGGGTGTTAAAGATACTGCTATGCCAAAAAGCCTTTTATTTTTTCATTAATATTCTTTCTTTTTTTTTTTTATCAGAGACCGTGTATTTGTGACAGGCACACTTCAATATAATGAATATTGGGATTCTGGAAACATGTTACAAAAGTCTACAACAATCATTGCAAGTAAGTTTATATCTTAGCTGAATAGACTATTGTTTTGAAGGATTCTTCTTTTCATATTAATTATACGTTATTGACAATATTAGACTTTAAAACAGTTTTTCATTGAGTTTTTTATTACATCAACATTTGAAATATGTCTTTTTGTAAAACATTGCATTATTCTGTAGTTGTCATATGCTGATAATGTTTGTATTATTGATTTAAAATTAATGCAAGTTAAATCTGAATGATTTGGTGATCAGCAGCTCTGAATTGTAACTTCACATAGAAATATACTGTGATGCTTTTACATTTTTTTTTATGCAAATTTGAAAAGAATTAAAAAAGGCTTTTTAACTTCAGTGGGATTTTTCATTTTTTTTTTTAATTTTGATTATTTAAATATATACTTAATATATTGAAAAGATATACACATTCACTCTTGTAATTTCTAACATTCTTAGAAACTAGTTTACCTTTTGCTCTGTACACTGACATGTCAGAAGTCCTGGGATAACAGTAGATAATGATAATTGTCGGTAGTATCAGCATAAGGAAATGCTCAGATCTCTATCAGTTGTACTCTGATAACTGGTGAGTCAGTGTGGCTGAGCTGATCATGACAAGATGTTGTGACTCATTGGACTTCAAACAAGGCATGAGAATGGATTCCAGATGGATGGGACATTCCATTTTTTTTTAAATTGTGGGAACATTTGATATCCCTTAATCTATTGTGTTATGTGTATATTGGTAGTACCTGGTAGAAGGTGTGGCTAATCATGGGTCCTTAAAGATTGTGACTAGAGGCATCTGGATAAATTTGTCTGCAGTAAGACATGATGAATCACTGTTTCAGACTGATGGTCAGGCTTAGTTGTGGCACAGTCCCTATTAGGCCATTGAACCTAGTTGTCAATAAAGCACTTTGAGGTTGTTGATTATTTAATGACACAGATTATGTTCAGGTGGCATGGGTGGGTCCACTGATCTGCCTAAACATATAATTTACTGATGATAGCTATGTTGTACTGCTTCGTGACCACTTTCACAAATTCATGGACTCTTTGTAAACCAACAATGATAAGTGATTTCAGCAGGATAATGCATTGCATCAACGAGACCAAGTTGCCCAGAATTGGTTTTAGGACCATTTTGGAAACTTCCAATGTATAGTGTGGTCACTAGTTGTGCATTTATGTGATGTGATGGAAAGGTCTGTTTGCATGCAAGATCATGTACCTAAAAAAATATCAGGGAGCTGTAGACATCTATTGAGATGGCATGGCTCAACACCTTTCCAGACTTGATTCTACATTGAGTTGCTGCATTTTACTGGACTAGAGTTGATCCTGCATGATACTAATATAGGTCTCATGATTTTTAACACATCAATGTAAATTTTATCTTCTATCTCCTATGCCCAACCTTATACAAATAAAATCTTCAGAAACAATTTCCTCAATTCTTCTGGTGATTCAAAACAAATTATAATTCAGTTCAGGATTGAATACATTAAATGCTTTTAAATCTTTAACAACTTTTTTTTTCTTTTCATTTCATTTCAGATGATATAATTAATTTAACCAAGAAATACTTAAATGAAGATGTGCCTGTGGATGAGGAAAATGTATACAGTTAATCAGATATAGTTGATTCTTTAGACAATTTTGGAAAGACTTTATTTTCTTTTGACTTAATATTTTTCTAAGAATTTTTTTTTAATACCAGAATATCAATTTTTGTATATTTTATGTAAATATTCAGTTACAAATAAATCTGAACTTAGTACCATATAATGTTTTTTTGTTTGTTCTTTTCTTGTTTAATGATATGTAATCTTTGTTGGGTTTTAATTTAAAAGTGCAATTCAGGATTGTTTTTCTTAGAATAACAGGTAACTTAAATATGGAGTAATTATTTACAAAAGGCAACAATATTGAGGGAACTTAAAATGATTAATTGGTTACTTATTTTAGTGCTTCTTTTGCTTACAAACAATATTCAAAGCATTATTTAAACAAATTAGTTATAAATAATGCCTTTTTTAAACCATCTGTCGCTTATATTATTGCCAAGTAAGACTTTACATTTACATAAGTAGCAAAGCAATTGTTCTAAGTAGTGTGGTTAATAGAAGTAAGTATTGCATAATTTGTTGCATTTACAAATTAGTTTTACCTATAATCATTACTGTTTAGAGTTCATTACTCACTGGGAGCATCTACACCTAAAGCCTTGTGTTGCCATACTAAGCTTATTAAGCACAATTTAGCATTGCTTTGGATAACTATTCACTCTGCAAGGAATTCTATAATTTATGAAAGTGACTTTTTTTTCCTTTTTTTTTTTTTTTTTTTGAAGTTAGTGTTAGCCTGTTTAAAAATTACAGAAGTTTTAAACTGTAAATTTCTGTTTGCAACATTTTGTAACTTTGTAGAAAGAGTGTCTGTCTTATTGCTGTTGGTCACATTTATTTTACCTTTCAAAGATCAAAAAAATGTTCCTTTTAAAAATATATAGAAAGTAATTGTTTAATCTATTCAGTACATAACTTGATTTTTATATATTTATTGGTTATGCAACATGATCTCGATCTTAGTAATGAAATAATCTGATGTTATGGCAACAGGAGGCATGACTGGACTTCAATAATCAAATCTGATTAGTAAATAGGAGAAATCAGCAAATAGATTACTTTTTATTTTTTTGTTTTTAAGCATTCTTTGGATGTTTTTATTTAAATCATTTGAAAAGCAATTTTTTTTTTTTACTTAAGCAACAATAAGTTAATTGTATTGGTAAAAATCCTAGATTACTCAGATGGAAAATGTAACCAATGCAAAATTACTTATTTTATTTTTTGACAACATGATTAACTAGTATTATAATAATAATAATACAACAACATTATATTACTAATCAATAGTTACATTAAAATGGCATTGGTCTGATAAATTTAATGATATTCTTCAAACTTCAGTGTCTTTTTAAGGTTGTCCTGTATTGAACTACATGGAACTGATAAAATTTAGATTTTGGAGATGATTTTTCTTTTCAATAAATTATTGAGAGAAAAATATTTTTATTTTCAGCAATGACAAATGCATGAACATTTAAAATAATTTTAGATGACAGTTCACCACTTGTTACATTTGTCTGTTTTTGTATTCCTTTTGAAATATGGATCAGACAGAAGATAGCAAAGATTGTCTAATTTGATCAAAATTTGTTAACCTTGCCAACTTAATGCATTAGTTAATAAGACAAAAAAATCTGGGCAATGTTTAACCTTTGTGCCTGCATTTATACTGCTATTACTGTATACGCTTTTGACTCCCTCAGCAATGTTTATTGTTTTACAAGATTATAAAAATATGGGAATGAAGTACAATGAAATTATTTATTATTTGCCTTTTATTATTTAGCATTTTATAAAGAAATAAATTTGAAATATTTTTTATTCAAAATTGAGGAAGTGATGCTTTTAACCTATTTTAGTCAATTTATGCGACAAGAGAAAATGAAAGAAATGTCTGGAAAATGCATTTTTTTTCAAAATTTATAATTACAGTTATGTCGTTATGTGTTTAGTCAAATTTTCTTGTTCACAGACATTTTTATGAATAAAAATAATTTCATATTTATTTCTTTTATAAAATGGCAAATAATAAATATTTTGGAAAACTTGAATCTTTATGCCTGTAAATAAAATGGAGTGTCAAAAGGATGTCTTCTTCCATTGACACTGGTATTAACTACCTTCACTAATCAGCAATTTATATTGTTTTAAAAAGTGATTAGAATTGGGATAAAAACCTAAACATGAAAGTGAATTTATACATTTTCTTTATTCTTGAGAATTGACACTGCTAAAATATGTTTGTATTTTTCTTTTTTGGTTTGTGAATGTACAGCAGGAAATTATGTGCCTGAATGTTATGGAGATGAACATTACTCATTCAAATTAAAGATTCTAGCAATGTTTTTTTGTTTTTTTAAATGTAATTTAATTTTGAAAAATGTTTGAAGCTCATTAGTCTTAGCAAACAATATTTTTAAATTTGATTAGAAGTATATTAAAAAAATGTATATATTTTAAGTATCATTTCTTTGCAAACAGTTAATAAAGGTTATTTTCTATAAAGAATGCTTTTATAACTTACTAAATGTACTTTAAATATTTAGTCAGTAGAGAACGAATACTTAGTATCAAGACTATTTTTTTCATTCTTTATGAGGATTATAGATATATATTTGTTAGTGTATACTTATACTTTTGCTAGATTAATTGATTTATTTTCATGGCTTATCAACCTTTTGCAGACTATTAAAAACCAGAAAATATTTATTTTATTTATTTTCTTTTTTTTTTGTAAGAATTTTTGGAATTAATCCATAGCTAGGGGGAGAAGAGATGGATTCTCATCTTTCCTGAGGGTATTTGCATATAAGTGAATATAACAAACCCGGCTGGAGTTGGAACTCAGCTCATTGATCTTCAATTTTGAGCCATTATACATTGCACATCCAAGCTTAGAGCATCTGGTATTCTAAAGTGGTCACCCATCTAGGTACTAATCAGGCTCGATGTTGCTTAACTTTGGTGATTATACAAGAACCAGTGTTTTGTGATAGAACCATAAGCCATACTTTTCCTAAGGAAACATTACCAGAATTTTGCACGCCTCCTATATTGTTTTGAATGAGTTATATTTTCCATATTTAATTTTTTGTAGCTGATATATACAAGAAGGAGTACTAAAAAGTTCTTAGTCCAACCAAGCCAAGAAATCATTTAAAAAAAAAAAAAAAAAAAAAAAAAGATATTTGGGAAGTGGGGTTAGGTCAAAAACTTCTCAACACCCCCTTACATATATAATAAGAGTGGATGAATGAGTCTGTATTCATTGAGTTTTGATCTTCAATTTTCACTGTATAATGTTTGATCTGTAATTAATATTCACTATTGGGTTAATTCTACCTAAATATGCTGAGAATACCATGAACTGAGCAACAACAAAGCTTTAGAGAAAATGAAAATAGAACAGACATTTATATTGATTTTCTAAGCTTAGCTTAGATGTGGCACAAGGCTGAAAGTATGGGGCACCCAATGAGGATAGAACTCGTTATTTAATAGTAACTGTTATAGTGAGACAAACTTTCTAACTATTACACCACACCGAGGTGCTCAAGAATGGACATTTATATGTAGCATCAGAAAGAGACAGTTGAAATTTCTATGGAAAGAGGGCTTCAAAAATTTGACACTCACAGGACACTGGAGACAAAAGAGACAGAGTACATAACCTATCTAATGAGCCTGTGTAAATGGTTGCCAGAACAGGGATTAAGAGAGATAGCAAAAAAGACAAACTTTACTAAGGACTACAAAGCACAGGAAGTTGTAGAGAGCCGTGATTACCTATATCTAGAAGAGACGTGATACATAAAAAAGTGGGTTAATGACATTGACCAAGAGATTATGTTGAAAAATGCTCGTTTTTGTATTCCTTTGAAAATATGGATCAAACAGAAGATAAAGGTTGACTAATTCAAGCAAATTTTACTCTCTCTGCTTAATACATTAAAAGCAAGATATATCTTAGTGCTTGTTTGTGTCTAAAACCATGTACAGTAAGAAATTTTATTTACCTGAATGTTAGATGTTGATTTTTTTTCAAGTTGTGACACATGTATGTTGATGACATAGCTATACTTATATATGTCTATTTTTTATGCTGAAATTATGATTATTGATATTTATTAAAACTTAGCTTTCTATATCGTAGGGATAGAAAAATTGTATTGCATCAATCACCCAAGGCCCTGATTGTCTTGAAAGTTAGTTGTTGAAAACCTAGCTTTTTTTCTGAGCTTTAAAAACTGAACTAGTGTTGGTAAGAAATATAAAACTATTTCAGAGCTTTTTATCAATGTAAGATCAGAAGAAAATGAATATCACAAGCTTATAAGAATAATTATTTTCACTGTTACTATTATTTAGACTTGTCTCAAATAATCCATTTTGTTGTATTATCTTACAATGAAATTATATTCTCATACAGTTTTGAAGGTTTATACAATTCTTTTCATAAACAAAGCATAATACTCATAAACTGAAATATATAGACCAATACTAATATTGTGGACTTCTTTGCTAAGTTAAAATAGGAAGGAGTGAACTTATAATAATACTAATGTGGCACTTTACATAGAATTCATATCCTCTGTTTCAACACCTGACCATTAATTTATATCAGCAAATAAGGTAAAGAAATAAACAGGTTCAAGATAATGTTTACTATATATATATATATTGTTGTCGTTGGCAGAAGTCATTGCTGAGTATTGGGGTGCTCATTGACATTTCTGTGTAAAATGAGTTCTATGTCAGATCTGAAGAGAAAATCCAGAGCCACCACATGGTAGGGTTCAGGGGATGGAAAGCTCTGCCTTTTCTTTGGGTTCTTTTCCTCTCTTTTGTTTTCTGATGTTTTTGAAAGATTAATACAAATAAAATTAGTCACTTAGCTGATTGATGTTATATTCAGCATTTTGACCAAATTGTTTTGCAATCATTCCTTCCATTTGTCAGGTTTCAGCAGTTGACTTCAGATTTTATCATTTTTGTTATTT